ATATATATATTTTTCCTTATTTTTAATATTTTAGTTCCTTGATATTTATCTCTACAACTGCTCAGTGGTCACCTCCGGGGCCTTCCTCCTGTGGGCTCTGGGGGATGCCAGGGTCCTTGCCTGTTCCTCCGGGCGTGCACCTGTTGAATCCTCTTTATTTCCTCATTTGGCACTGGCGGTTCTTAGGAAGTCAGAGCAGCCTTAAAATGGCCTGTACCGATTGTGGGAGCAGCAAGGCACTTGAATCCGAAGCTTTTTGTTGGTCATTTCCCCAGTACCAGACTCCTTCGTTCCAATCCCCAGGTTTTTGGAGACTGTCAGTGGGTTCCGGGACTGATGTGTCATTGGGGGAGAGGAAGGAGTTTCCGGTGGTAGCCGGTGGAGAAGAACTAATCGCCTCTTCTCGGGTACAGTAATCGGTTAGACGCTCTAGAGACACGATGGAGCAGCAGGACAGTGTGCATGCCAGCTTTTTCTTTTATAAAAAAATTTAGCAAGCCCTTGTCTTCTTGTATGGTTTGCTCCCCGGCCCCGGCAACACAGGATTCTTTTCAGAATGTTATCTTTTTTATTTTTATTTTTTAAATTGGTGCAGAGGCCGATAGGGAGAAGGAGGGAACTCGAGAGGTGTATTCTGCAAAACTGTGAGACTCTCCCAATATTTAGGGCAACCCAGTAACTGGAAGATTTGGATCTCTGCTGTGGGTGATTACATGGTTTGCTACTGTGCACAGCGATTTTGTTTTAAATTCTACATAACTTGATTTTTCAGTCCATTATATGCAGCTGTCAAGAGGTGGTAAATTGCACAAATTAACAAGCAGTTACCAAACATCTGCTTTATTCATGGCATCATGAGATGTCAGAGAAACTAAGATGACTTGTTCCTTGCCAGAATTTAATGACGATATGGAGGAAGGCAAAAACAATAAAAATAAAAAATAAAATAGTACCTTTCACTTATTAGGAAGCAAGTTATTTAATTCTGTCTTTTAATTACCTTATATTATGTTTTATCATTTAAATTAAATGAAATAAATTTGGCTTCTTTTGGAAATTGTTTTGTGCCACTCATCAAACTTGGCTTCTAGAATAATCTTGATCTTTGTGATGTGTAAGGGAAATACTTTGTTTGTTTGTTTGTTTTAGGTGGAACTGTGTATTGAACCCCCAGCCTTCACCCTGAGCTGTATCCCCAACCTGTTTGTTGTTGTTGTTTGTTTGTTTTGTTTTGAGACAGGGTCTGGCCAAGTTACTGTGTTTCCCAGGCTGGGCTGGAGCTTGGCTCAAGAGTGCTGGGATTACAGATGTCCTGGTGTCCCCCCACCCCATGAAGCTATGCTTCCAGCTGCCTGTGAAGAGCTCCAAGAAACTGAAGTTATTAGAGATCACAGTTGATTAGTTGTGTTTATGAATTAATTGATTCATAAGTTAGTTTTTGAGATAGTGTCTCACCCTCACCATGTTGCCCCAGCTGGCCTCAAACTAAGATCTTTGCTTCTGCCTCTGCCTTGCTGGTAGCTGGGATTACATGCGTGGGGCACCACTTCCAGGTTAGTTCATAGTTTGTGTGTAGCTTAGTTTCAGAATAGTGGAGCACAGTATGTGCTAGTTATTTGTAATCATCCTTAGAGGAACCAGTAGTTAAGGCTGAGCATATGTGAATTACGTTTACTGCGTATGTGTAAATAACACAGTTAATCTGACGTGATGAGCTCTTTGGGGAGATAGTAGTTCAGCCGCATGGTTACTAAGCAAGTCTTTCTGGCCGTTCTGCCGTGAGCTTTCATTTCATTTCTTTTCAGATTATTTTCTTACAATAAAATGTGTGTGTGCTGTCCCTTTGATTGGAAATTATTTTGTTTCTTGCATCTGGGAAAGCATTTTTAACTTTGGTCTCTTGACTTCCTTAGAATTACAATTAAAAATAGTACATATTTAACTTTTCCGTGAAGAGTATGTGCAGGCTTCCTCAGTGTTGTGAAGATTAAAAGAGTAAATCATCTAGACAAGGGTTTGGCCTGCAGCAAACTCTCAGTGAGTGCAGCTATCATTGTGTGCAGGGCTTTCTCCTTCACTAAATCAAAAGCTCCCGAGGGGAGGGGAGGGCTAATGATGGAACAATGATTGATTTACATAAATTAGGCACTCAGTAAAAGGTTTTTAAAACTAAATTGGCGTTGCTTTTGTACTGCCACAGCACTTTCTTCCTCTTTGTCTGGTATTAATAATAATGCTGATAGTTTTCTTTCACTTTAGTTACCTTTTTCCATTCCGAGATTCTCACCTTTAATGAAAGAGAAAGGTATTGCTTGCTTTCTCTGATTCTCAGCTAGATTCCATAGCCTAAGGCTGAGGCTGTTTCTAGTGTTAGTCTTTGTGGCCCTTCCAGTGCTTTTTGTGGTCTTGGATTTTAATTTCTAAAAGTTTAGTTTGACCTGCATATTATTTTTTTCACCTTAAGGAATGCTTCATTTAACTTCTGCATTTTCAATGTCATTCATTTTCTCTGCAGCAAAATTGTGTAGCGTTCTCTATGCTTCATGCCCCAATTTCTCTTTTCCCTTTTTCCCTTTGTGGGTTCTTAGGATTGAGCCCAGGGCCTCCACACTGAGCTACATCCTCTACTCTTTTTTTATTTTGAGACAGGGTGCCCAGACGGGACTCAGACGTGATCCTCAGCCTCCCTGAGTGTTCTCCTTACAGCCGTGCACCACCATGCCAGGCTCTGTTCTTTCTTGAGTTTATTACAACTTGGTTATATTTCCCACTCTTCTTCACTCTTCCCTTCTTAGTGTTACCATTGATCTCTGCGTGTTGGTCATTCTCAGTCACCACCATATTTGGCCTGTTAACCACTAGGACACAAGTGATCACTCCGGTCTCCACGATCCATTTTCCCCTCTGGATTTCCAGAATGTACTCTGGGTTTTCCTCCTGCCTCTTTGATTGCTCATTTCCAGTCTGCTGTCTATTCGTCCCAACATTTTATTGCTGAAGAGTTCTAGCACTTAATCTTTAGCCCTGTTTTCCTTTTGATAACGTCATCTTCTGACTTTAAATACCTGTAACCAAAGGCTTCCACATTTGTATTCCTAGTCTCTTTTCTTTCTGAAGTTTAAATTCATATATCCAGTTGCTATCTCTGCATGTCCATTTATATATTTAAAAGACATCTCATACATCTCCACATGTTAATAGAAAGCCTATACCAGTGATGGCAAACCTTTTAGAACTTCCAGTGATAACACAGCCAGCCATGGCACACATGCCATAGGTTAATTCTTTGACGTTCACCTTTACTTCTTCCTTAATTTTTATATTCCATCAAATCCTAAAATGTATCTAAAATTCAACATTTTCTAGTTTTTTTTCATTAGTGCACTGATAAGCCCTTGCTTGAATTTGTTAGTAGCCACTGTCATTTTTTACTTGGATTACAGAAATAGTTTTCTCACTGGTCTCCCTGTTTTCTTTGATCCTTCCTAAAGTTTATTCTCATATACTAGACAGAGTGATAATTTTAAAGCATAAGTCAAAAAGCAGATTAAGATATGAGCATTCTAAGTGCAATATGTTGTCAGAGATTGAATCCTAGAACAGAAGGACACCAGTGGAAAAAACTGGTGAAAACCAAATAAAGTCAAGAGTTTAGCTAATAGTAATGTATCAATGCTGGCTTCTTAGTTTTAATAAATAATCCTTGGTAATATAGTAATATTAGAGGAAAGTAGATGAAAGTATATGAGGACTCTGTATTATCTTTGAAACTTTGCTGTAATGTAGAATTAGATCAAAATTCAATGATTATTAAAAGGAATGTAACCTCATTTCTTTGCTTGAGAATCTTTCGTGACTCCTAATTTGACCCATGGTAAAAGCTCACGTCCTTCCAATGACTTATGAGGCCCTGTGTGGTCTGGTCTTCTCTTACCTCCTTTTACATTTTTCTAGCCAGTGTGGCCACCATGTTTGTTACATATTCCAGGCCCACTTCTATCTCAGTGCTTTTGCACCTACTGCTTTCTCCCTTGGAATGCTTTTTCCTAGAGCTTCATACAGGAAATTCCTTCCTGTCTTTTATGTATTTGCTCAACTGTCACCTTTCGATAAAGCCTACTCCAGTCTCCCTATTTAAAATTGTAACTTTAGATTTTTTCCATGTCTTTATCCTGCCTCTGTTTTGACAGTTTGTGGTGCTTTGTTTTACTGTAGTAATTATCACCATATTTCACGTATTTGTTATATGTATTTTTAATGATTTCTTTTCCCCTGATTCCCAGAAGGCAAGAATTTTAACTTTGTTCTCTTCTTAGGCAATGAGCCAAGCATTTGTCAGAAGCATAGATGTACTCAATAGGTTGTGGCTGGATGAGTGAACTTGATTAATTGAATTTGTAATGATTGACTTGCCATCTGAAATCACTGATTAGGGAACTCTTGTAGTCAGATTTTTAATGTTGATGATAT